TATCACCAACTGAGCATCACTGTTAAACACTGAAGGCCCCCTCAAGCTTGTTGCTTACCATCTACATCCTGATAGTAAGACTTCCTGATGGCTGCTTTCAGCAGGATATCACACCATGTCTCAAAGCTCAAATCATTTCAAACTGGTTTCATGACTGTGACAGTTAATCTAGTAGAGACCTTTCAGATGTGGTGGAACAGGAGATTTCAATCATGGCTGTCAAATCTGCAGAAACTCTGTGACACCATGAAGTCAACATGGACCAGAATCACTGAGGAATGTTTCCAGCACCTCGCTAAATCTGAAGTTCTGATGCAAAATTGGTCCACCTGGTAATAACATAGTAATAAAGCATCCAGTGAGTAAATTAATCACCCACGTAACTCTTTACCAAATTTTTGATTTCTTCAAATATTGTCAAATCTACCACTTGACAATTTTCTCGCTTCACCTGCTTAATATCCTTTTTGCATCTTTGTCAAACTGTATATTTTACAGAATAATATCACACGAAAGCAAAACAACAGCTAAAAGTTAAATGTTTTTTAGAGTTAACCCTTTATTTAAAGAAACAATCAAGCATCACAGGTGACTCACTGTAAAGTGAGAATGCTACAAGTCATATGTACAACCAGTTTCATCCATCACCTAAATGATCAATTGGCTTTTTAAGGAATAAAAATCAGCATAGAAAAAAAAATCTAAATAAATGCAAGTCATTACAAGCCCCTTCAGAACGAAAACGTGTAACAAAACACTGGTCGTGTACTGGGTCTGTAGTTCGGTTAAAAGGAGGAAAAGTATACAGGATGTTCTTTGAGTGCCATCGTTCATAAGGTGTTAATGAGACGTCAGTGCACGATGTGTGCCACTCATGCATATAAAAGAAGCTCAGGTGTTTGACATTTTTACAAGTGATGTTGGTGAGGAAAAAAACAAACACGTCAGTTTTATTATTGCTCCTCAAAGCGGAGCAGCATTAGTACAGATATGCCACACATCGCTCTGGATAGAGGAATTTACCAAGTCTTCATATTGTTCGTCTTCTTAATCGCACCTACACGGCGCTGCAGACCTGGCCTCGCAAAGGGTTTTGTCTTGTTTTTTTAATCAAATATCTTTTCATAGTTAAAGAATCACAAGTAAAAATATTAGAAACAGATAATAAATCAGACATAACATTAATAGCTTTAGGATAACTTATGGGGAAACTAAAGAATCTACTGAAAAACATTCTCCACGTCTTTAATTTAAACTCAATATCACATCTGTGCAGGATGGCCTAGTTCTTTGCTGAACAACAGAAACACAGCCTAGTCAAAGTGAAAGAGTGATGTGATCGTCGCTCTTTCTATAGTATAGATGCTATTCGAAGGGTTCCTGCCCCACATGTACCTGTGTCAAGAGGATGTCTGTAATACAGCCCG